ACCCTCTTTGTAGACTGGACACTGGTTCAAGTCCATCTTATGGGTTCTCTGTTTCCTCCCTGAACAAGAGGACAGGTGACTCACCACAGTTATAGGACATTTTGAGAGATGTTCCATAGTCCCCTGGAACTTAGTCTTCCTTGGAGGGCAAGGGGCAAAAACTGTCCTTTAACTCCCTCTGACCGGAGCAAAAAACTGTCCTTTATGTCCCTTTGACCAAATTAGTATAGGCCTCAAAGTAAGGTTGTTAGACATCCAAGAAAGTTAGAACTACCAGTCTGGTACTTTTAATTACCATGTGCTATGGAGATAATTAAAAAACCAAATATTCTCAGATAAACCTTGACTAGATATATATTTTGTTCCTTAAACTAGTTGACTAAACTATGACCATAGACTTTCTAAGATTATGTGTATATTATTTTTGTCTCATTCTCTATATATCATAACAAACCTAAGCAGACCTTCATCACTTGCTTAGGCTTTCTCATTTTTTTCTATTTTAGAAAATATCTCCATTCCCATATCCTTTTAACACTTTTTACATTCACATTTTTTAAAAAAATAATTATGAGACATAATAGCATTAAGAAATAAATTTTCCATCTGTTGTGAGACTTCTTTTCCTGGGGATGCTAAGCAATGATCATTCCCTTTTGAGGTTCTCGTGTCAAGTTTGATTAAAGTTTTACTTGGGAACCAATGAATTTATTGAGCTTACTTACCGAGATAACTGAGGGGTTGCTGAGGTGTATGTATGACATGAGGGTAGGCACACTGGAAAGCCTTTACCCAGCATGAGTCATGCTTTCTCTTCCTAGCCTTCCCCAGAATGAGCACAACCATCAACAAGCCCAATTGCAACAATGTTTAGCAATCAGGCTCAGCCAAAGCCATGATGATGGTAGTTATTTCATGCAGAAGAGACCGCTGTATAGCATCATCTTATTAAAAGGACCTGGAATTATTAAAAGGATTTGGTACTAGGATCCACAAATGAGGAAGAACATACATCATTTGTTTTTCTGAGTCTGTGTTACTTTACTTAGTATAACAGTTTCTAGATCCATCCATTTACCTGAAAATTTCATTATTTCATCTTGCTTTACTGCTGAATAGAACTCGATTGTGTAAATATACCACATTTTTGTCAACCACTCATCAGTTGAGGGGCACTTAGGTTGCACTGTCAAGTTGTAAACGCTTATTTGTAATTTTATGTTTTGAAAAGGATGAAATTGGTTTGAATAAATACTTAGATACTTGTATAATTCTTTTTGCCGTGTGTGTGTGTGTGTGTGTGTGTGTGTGTGTGTGTGGCCTTGCATATGCTAAGCATGTGCTCTATCACTAAGGCATAGTCTCAGTTCTTAGGCAATGCTTTTTATGGTGAATAGATGTCATCCTGGGTAAGCAGATGGTTTTAATTAATACACAAACTTTTTTATTTGAACAACTTTATGTTTCTTGTGGCATAAACTAGAATGAGATATAATTATTAAGTTGGGTATGGTCATAAACCAATGTAATCCTGGTGCTTGGGAGGTGGAAGCAGGAAGATCATAGTTTGAGGCTAGCCTGGGCTATATAGTGAGACTCTATCTCAAAACAGCCAAGAAGTAAAAAGAAAAGTAACTAGACTTTAAACAAATCAAAGAAAAACAGGCTGGAGAGATGACTTAGTTGGCAAAGTGCTCCCCATGCAAGCAAGCATCAGGGCCTAAGTCCAGTCCCCAGAACCCTCATAAAAGCCAGGCTCAGAGGTATGTGTCTGTGATCCCAGAGCTGGGAAGGCAGAGACAAGTGGCCCCCTGGAGATTGCTGGCCAGCCAGTCTACCTGAATTCCTGAGCAACAGGTTCAGTGAGAGACCCTGTTTCAAGAAATGAAGTGGAGTGTCTGGCACAGTTATGCACGCCTTTAATTCCAGCTCTTAGGAGGAAGAGGCAGGCAGATCTCTAGGTGATGTCAACATAGCAAGTTCCAGGCCAGCTGGGGAGACCCTATCTCAAAAAAGGACACAACAACAAAAAGGGGAGACTGTTTGAGGAAATATCCAATATTGACCTCTGGCTTCCACACGCTTGTGAATTGGCACATGTGTGCACACACACACATACACAGATAAACCTTTTAAAAAGTTAAAAAAGCAATTATATCATAGCTCAGATGCCCACAGATGTGGCCAGACTAGGGAACTGCTAGCTAAATGGCATTGCTTCAGGCTACATGGACATTCTGATCACTTTTTATCAATAGATTTTATATATTTATTTTTATTTTTTTGTGTATAAATGTAGTGTTTGTATGTGTGTGAGGGCATCCATGTCGTGCAATGGCACGGAGGTCAGAAGAGGGCTTCGGATTCCCCTGGAACTGGAGTTAAGGAGAGTTCATAGCCACCATGTGGGTGCTGGGAATCGAACCCAGGTCCTCTACAAGAGCACTCAGTGCTCTTAACTGCTGAGCCATCTCTCCAGCCCATCGGTAGATTTTAAATACAAGAAAGAGCAGGATCTATTTGGAGTGTGTCTGGGAAAGGAATGGCAGACATCTTTGCAGTTAAACCAACCTTCCTGCTGCTGGTCCCTTTGTATGTTACCCTTTGAATCAGTTTTGTATTTAGTGATTGTGTAAGTAGTTATCAAGTCTCTGGTGGGTTTTCACCTGTTATTCTCCATGAATAATATCAGCCTTTCTATATTTTTTAATTCAAATCTCCAAGTTCAGACCAAATTTTTCAAACTTATAGATGAGTCTCGTTTATTCTAACAGAGTAATATGATAATATAGTTAAGTTTTGTCATTTTTGTTTGTTGTTTTGATGACTTGTCGATTAAGATAGGGTTTCACTATGCCGTGCCTACTGGCCCAACTTGTGATCTTGCATAGGCTTCCTGAGTACTGGGATTCCAAGTATATGCCACCATGCCTGACTTGTTATGGTTGATATATGACTGAGTGTCCCCGAAAGGTCCATGTACTGGAGTCCTGATCCCCATGGTAATAATGCAGAATGTCTAAGAGGTAGATCCCAGTGGGAGGTGTGCATTACTCTGTCTACATTACCATCACCTGAACAAACAGCTTAATTCTTAAATGTAGTTTTTAAGACCGGCCCAAACTCAGAAGACACTTGTTCCCTTAGATATCTCTTGGAACCATCTGTCTCCTGCAACAGTGCTGACAGAATTGTCTTGTTGGAACTCGATCCCTGGACTGTGTCCTGAGTCTGGCCCCACCCATAATTTTAATCAAAATAGCTTCTCCAACTTCAATTGAGGAAGTATAAGTTTGGCTCCACACTAATCTAACAGACCATCCAGCCTTTCCATCCCTAGTTCTAGAATATCTCATTCATCCAAGGTCAGTCGTCCTTCCCAAGCTCTACTGTGTGCAGTAGAGATGGTGCACCACCTTTCAGTGCTTTTACATTTTAATTCTTAAGCACACCCACATTCATTCATTATTTTGGGGGGTAGAGTACCAAGTTGAGGTTGCCTAGCAAACAAGATCAGGTGTCAAAGTCACAAGACACAAGAGCACATGGTTTTGCTGGGGTTAATTAAAAGTCATTAGTCCAGGCTATATCCATTCATGAAGGTCATTCCCACAGGGAGTAGTTTCCTCCCAAGAGGGTTCTTAAGGAAAGCTAATCTGGTCCCAGCAGCTCTCTGGCTTACTGTTGGAGCTGTGATCTGCTGTTCCACACATACTTCTGCCATGACTGACAGCATCTACCGTTAGGCCTTCAGCAGAGGCCAAACTAATGGCACCAACCAATCTTAGATTTTGAGCCTCCAAAGCTGAGTTAAACAAACCTCCTTTGCTTCCCGAGTTAGCCTGTCTCTACATTTCATTATAGCACTGAAAAGTGCCAAATTGCTAAAGTTCTCATTTCTTGATCTAGTGGGCCAACTGGATAGCCAACATTAGAATGTCCAGGTATATAACACCTTCCATTCGGTTCACAGTGACTTGAGGTGTTATTTGGTTTGGTTTAGTTGCAGTGCTGAACTCAGGGCCTCATGCATGCTCAGCAAGCACTCTGCCACTGAGTGAACACTAATACACACACACACACACACACACACACACACACACACACATATACCCCTTGTGTTTTATATATTGCTTTACTTAAACTTTGCTTCCACACCTGGAAAAGTGAATCCATACACTTTTCTGTTTTGTAACTCAGTGGCAGGACAGCTGGTTAACACTGACAGGTACATTCTGTGGCCAGCCCTCAGGCTTATCCACCCAGTATTTTGTTGTTGTTTTTTGAGATAGGGTCTCACTATGTAGGCCCAGCTGGTATAGAACTCACTCTGTACACCAGACTGGCCTCAAACTCACAGAGATCCACATGCTTCTGCCTCCTGAGTGTTGGGATTAAAGGTGTGCACCACAGGACCCAGCCCATCCAATATATTTATTATGAAATATTTTATTATGAAACAGTTGAAATACATTAATCATCAATGTAATCAGATGCATCATCTGGCATTTTCTCAGTGTGGCATCTTCTTAAAAATAGCTACGCCATGTTAAAGTTTAGGCTGACTCTAGTCTCTGAAATTATCAGACACTTGGCCCAGGGTATGGGAACACATGTCAGCTGAACCCCAGTTGTCTTGGGAACAGGTCAGTGTGTCCCAGAGTGTACCTGCCAACTGCAGATTTATGGCTTCTGTAGGTTATGCTTGGCCTGCTTCTGCAAAATAGTAATTGTTGCTTAATAGAATAGAAATTGTTAAGGGGGCTCTCCACCTGTAAAGCTTGGGAACTTAAACTTTTCACCTCTGGTTATGGTTTCTCTGTATAAAGGGTTATGCTAGAGATGGCTCGGGGCTACACACTGGAGTTCTGACACCCTTGTGTAGTAACCCTGGCCAGCAACGACTTTCATTGGCAAAACTTTGAGTGGCCTTTCCTGGTGAAGCACCCACAACACTCAGCTCGGTTTCATTTGGACAAGGTGGAAAGCAGGGAAGGACTTCAGTTACATTTGGGTTTTCTCTTTGCTAATAGAAAAAGCAAAACACAGTACAGCATGGGGAAGGCACTGTTGTAAGAACAGCACAGCAGCCAGAGAGAAGACAGACTCCTGACCTCAACAGCCAGCATTATGTAGGCAATGATGAGCTGGGTATGGGCCCAGGCAAGGGCTCTATAGAGCAACTGCAGTGGCCAGGATCGAAAAAACACAGTGGCAAAGGTGTGAATAAGGTAGTCAGCTTCTACCATCACAGCCCAGCACAGGAAGCCAAACACCTGTCCGGGGTGGAGCCCGTGCCACCAGGCTGAGAAGGCAAAGGTCTGCAGCACCGGCCAGCACCGGCTGTTCTGGAAGACTAGCCGCTTCAGCCACCGAGCTGTGCTTCGGTTCCACTGCCTCGTGAACAGGGATATCCTGTGGGTTGTTTCTAGCATCCAGATGTCCGCATCCGGGACATATCCCTCCTCCCCAGGCCTCTGGCCAGATTCAGATCCAAAGCCTGCAGCATGGAGGAGAGAGTCGTCCAGGATCCAGTGCGAGTAGTAGGTGAGTTTGAAGAGCCCAGCTGTGTGCCACATGACATAAACGCACTCCAGCTGCTGGCAATCATCCAGTCCGGCTCCTGGGCTCACCAGCCTCCTCAGGGCCACCTTGAGGCACTCCAGTCCAATAATCTGCAGGCCCCTCCAGGTCAGAGCCCAGAAAGAGATACTGGGATACAAAGAGTTAGATCTTTGAATACGAGCCCGAAACCTCTGAAAGGAACACAAGGGGCCTCCCAGGAGAGCAGGGAAAAAGAGCAAGTAGCTGAAATAGGGCAGAGCTTTACACAGATGCTCAGCCAAAGAGCTTCTGCTCCTGGTGCCTCCAGGTGTTTTCTCCACTTTTCCCTCACTGATGTCCAGTGACAGAGACGTGACCCTCTGGGTCAAGAGCATGAGGGAAGAAAGAGAGATGTAGAACCTGAAAGAAATTGTTTTAAAATATGAGACCATTCTATGTTTATTCTCAAGTTCCAGACTGCCACAGACCCCACAACAAATCATGCCACACAAAGACGCTTAGGTTCATTCAGAACTGCACATTATTACTTGGGCAACCACAAATGGGAACACCAACCACCAGTTAAGAGATGAAAATGAAAGAATGATCACAGGATGTGGTGGCGCAAGCCTTTAGTCCCAGCACTGGGGAGGCGGAGGCAGGCAAGTCTCTATGAGTTCAAAGCCAGCCTGGTCTACATAGCGAGCTCCAGACCAGCTGTGGCTACAGGGTGAAACTATGCCTCAAGAAAAAACGAAAACAAAAACCCAAAACAAAACAAAAGCAAACAACAACAACAAAAACTGGGTGTTGTGGTGCTTGCTTATAATCATTGTACCTAGGAAATGGAGACAGGAGAGGACCAGAAGTCCAGATGGTCACCACAAAATTTTCTACTTCAGTGAAAAAGTAAAAACTAAAATCTAAGTATCAACATGGA